GTTTTGATTAAAATCGAATTTGGAAAAGATTCTGTTTCGAAACTTAGCAAATGAAGTGGTCGATTTGAAAAAAAAAACAAAATTGAAATCTCCAGTGAAGATTTCAATGGTTTATCAGTTCAGGTTCATAACACCATTTATTGTTCTTGGTGTGGGTGTTGATGATGGATTCTTGATGATTCACGGCTGTGTCGAATCCAATGAATTGGATCATAGAGCAAAAATGCGATCTGTGCTCATTTCAACCGGGCCATCGATTACATTAACCTCTTTCACAAATATATTTGCGTTCATGGTACGCATCAGGAAAATTCTGCTTTTTTTTGTTGGTTTGTTTGAGTTCATTCTTGGCTTTGTGTATGACTTACGAATGACCTTAATCACCATGTGGCGTTGTAATTGAGACGTTCCGATTGCAAAATCATTTCAAACGGAGACAGTTGAGTTGTGTGCAATTCAATGGAAATCGCCGCCTGATCGACTGACTGACTTCTTTTGGGCTAGATAATCTTAGTGGTCAATCAGAAAATGTTCAGATAACCTGAGATGGAATGTTCTGCATTGGGTAAACTTGAACGTACTGACTCATATATTTGTTCACCATACACGTACAGCTGTCAACAATACGAACACTTCGAAATAATCTTGTGAATAATTTAACAACCAACAACAGTAATAATTCAAAGGAATTTGTGCATATAAAAATTGAATTCCAAACGAGCTGATTGCTTTGTGATTTGCTATCTTATGCTATGCCAATTTTGCAATGAAAATTTCAGATTGGTGGATATTTATCGCCGCCCGAAGTGCGTTCATTTTGCTATTGCACAGCGCTAGCAATGTTCTTTGGCTTTGCATTCCAACTGCTTCTATTCACATCGGCACTAATCAAATTCAAAATTGTGCCATCTCATCGATCGTCGTCCATTAACGTTGAAAAGTTCGATACGAATCACTTCAATTGTTTACCATCGACGATGTGAAAAACATGGATTTGCTCATTGTCAGTTCACATTGGTGAAACGAGTTAACCGTGAATTGAATCAATCGAAGTTAACAATAAATTATCTAAGAATTATGAGAAATGTTGCTGAATTTGAGCGAGATTCAAGCAATTTGTCCATCACCGTTCTAAACTGATGGTGAGCAAATAAGCGGAGCAATATTTCGTCGCGTTCAATATTTTCAACATTTTCAGTGCTCACAATCAGAAACATTTCATCGTTCGCTACTGTAAAGCACTTCGAACGCGATTCATTCGATCAGCACTGACCGTTACGTTGCTTTTGTACTGGACGATAAGCATCTACTCGATCACTCAAATGCAAGAGAAGTTTACACCCGATAAAACTTTTGACTCCGAATCGCACCTTGCCAAATCATTGCCATGGTTGGATAAAGTGTGTGACGTTTGGTTACTGGTTGTTATTGTTGTTGTTGATGTGTGATCTTATCGGGGCAGTATTCACTCAGAAATATAATCATGGATGATAAGTTTAGTGATGAATGATAGATGTTATGAAATTGTTTGCAATTGAGCAATTGCTGGACTAGTTGAGAGCGGGAGATTCAGAATCAGTGAACTTGCTTACGACTAGTGGACGTTGAGCGATCAATTTCTTATTCAAATTGTCAAGCTGAATTGTAATTGCTGAAACCTCTCACAATCAGGATAAATTCAGATATTGAAAATCTTCTGACAATAAGCTTATTGTTGACTGAAAAGTAGGAAATTCTTCGCTGATCAAAAAGTTACTTCACTCCGTAGGCAATAAATTCATATATGATCGATAACATTAAGGCGTTCAACTATCATGAAAATTTCGGTGTGTTCGTCATGAAATTGCCACAAGATTCTTCACAACTGCTTCGAAGCATCGCTGAAATACGCTCAGCAGAGTACATCTGTGAAGAGGTCAAAACATGGATCGAAATATACGATGAAGAGTATAATCCACAGAATTCAACTTCGTTGGAT